TAGTGTTGCAACGAATAGTATATTCGGCCAGGAGCGTGGCCGAATAGCCGAATATTCGGCCAAACTATTCGGCTCGATTAACGCATGTACGAAAATTGGCGCGCAAACCGCATTATGGCAAGGACCCTGCTCTCTATTGGCCCGCTATCACTACGTTTCGCCAATCGCGTTAATTCTTGACAGTTCTAGCGGACAGACAAGAGCGTCATGGCAGTATGTGATAAATGGATATCAAATGTGGATAACAATAAGCTGCCTCGACTTGTTCGATTATGTTATCAACTGAATTTCATATTTATTTTCACATTTTTACGGTCCTTTACGAGTTAATAACGGAAAAAGAACAGAGAAGGACCGCGAAAATGTGAAAATAAATATGAAATTCAGTTGATAACATAATCGAACAAGTCGAGGCAGCTTATTGGCGCGAAATTCGCGACCGTCAATGCCAAACAATTGTTGTCATAAACTTCGGAAAGCTAAATGCTTGTAATGAAAGTCACTTAGCGTGCACGGGCGAAAACCTGGGACCGTTCGGGCTACCAAGCTGTCTCGAATCTGCGAAATCATAACTGTGACTTAATTTGACGTCCTATCTGTCTCTTTTCTCCTTTATCACCAGGCTATGAATCACGTAATTGTAAAATGGGAAATCTACGACGGAAAAGTGACAAATCGAAAGTATCGTGAGCACGTATAATGATGTATGCATAGGCATACGTGGATTAGAGCGATAGAGGAAAGAGAAAGGGAAGAGCAAAGACGAGCGCTTAAAAAGAAGGATAGGCAGAGTCAGACCCTCACATGTGTGACGATTCTCGAACAAATAGGTGTGTACTTGTGCTGATCCTTGTAATTATAAATTGTGAATACGTGTGACTAATATTATTTTCTTTTTTATTTTGTGCATGTTATAAGTTATAAACAAATATAAACAAACAACACTAACCCGATAACATTAAATCTAAATACCAAAATGATTAATTTACTGTGTTTTTGTTATTTCTTACTCCTGCTTTTAGGTATTCGGTATTCGGCCGAATAGTAACCGAATATTCATTACATCACTAGCAATAATCTGTGTATATTTGTTTAAAATATATTATACGATGTAAGAATATAGCCTATATATTTATTTGTGTAATACATTTCACTCTATTTCTCCTAACATTTTTAATAATTTATGACATTTTTCTTCATAGAACTACATCTCATTGCAATATACAAAGATTTGTTTCAAATGCTATAAGTTTTATAAAACTGGAAAAAGAATGTTAAATGCTATCTTATATCAATTGTATCTTTCATCAAACACTTCAAAAAAGAAAGAAAAC